TTGTCTGTGGAAGCAAAAAGGGGATTGTATGAGAGTATAGTTGTACCAACACACCTGTATGGGTGTGAAGCATGGGTGATGAATGTTGCAACGAGGAGAAGGCTGGAGGCAGTGGAGATGTCGTGTCTGAGGGCAATGTGTGGTGTGAATGTAATGCAGAGAATTTGTAGTTCAGAAATTAGAAGGTGTGGGATTACCAAAACTATTATCCAGAGGGCTGAGGAAGGGTTGTTGAGGTGCTTCGGACATGTAGAGAGAATGGAGCAAAACAGAATGACTTCGAGAGTGTATAAATCTGTAATGGAGGGAAGGCGGGGTAGGGGTCGGCCTAGGAAGGGTTGGAGGGAGGGGGTAAAGGAGGTTTTGTGTGCGAGGGGCTTGGACTTCCAGCAAGCGTGCACGAGCATATTTGATAGGAGTGAATGGAGACAAATGGTTTTTAATACTTGACGTGCTGTTGGAGTGTGAACAGAGTAACATTTATGAAGGGATTCAGGGAAACTGGCAGGCCGGACTTGAGTCCTGGCGATGGGAAGTACAGTGTCTACACTGAAGGAGGGGTGTTAATTTTGCAGTTTTATAACTGTCGTGTAAAGCACCCCTTTGGCAAGACAGTGATGGAGTGAAGGATGAAAGTTTTTCTTTTTCGGGCCACCCTGCCTTGGTGGGAATCGGCCGATGTGTTAATAAAAAAAAAAAAAAATCGCCTTACTCTTCTCTATATTCACTTTCAACTTTCTACCTTTACACACCCTCCCAAACTTGTTCACTAACATTTGCAACTCTTCTTTAGAATTCCCCCAAAAGCACAGTATCAGCAAAAAGTAACTGTCAACTACCATTTTGTATGTATTGGATTGCCCATAATTTAATCTCGCCCCTCTCCCCAACATCCTAGCATTTACTTTTTACAATACCATCTATAAATGTTAAACAACCATGGTGACATTACACATCCTTGTCCAAGACCTACTTTTACTGGGAAGTAATCTCTCTCTCCTACACACACTAACCTGAGCCTCACTGCCCTCATAATTCTCTTTAGAGAATTTAGTAACTTTCTATGTATTCCATACACTTGAAACATCTGCCACATTGCTACCCTATCCACTCTTATCATATGCCTTTTCTGAATCCATAAATGCAGTGAAAACTTCCCTACCTTTGTCTAAATACTATTCACTTACATGCTTCAATGTAATCACCTAAAATCTACACATCCCCTACCCATTCTAAAGCCTCCTTGCTCATCTGCAATCCTGCTTTCTCTTACCTCTAATTCAGATTCAGGAAGATTTTGGAAAGCACTGGTTTGGTAAGAGTTGTGGATGAGTGGAACAAACTCCCGCGTACAGTTAGAGGCTAAAACGTTATGTGGCTTTAAAAATAGGTTAGATAAATACACGAGTGGGTGTGAGTTGTACCTGACTAGCTTGTGCTATTAGGTCTGATGCTGTGCTTCTTCCTTAAGTAGAAGTGACCTGACGAGGTGGGTCATTCGGCTAATCTGGGGGGGGGGGACATGGATCTGCTTCGCATGGGGTCAGTAGGCCTGCTGCAGTGTTCCTTCTTATGTCCTTATTCCCTTTCATTCTATGTAACTACTCGTGCACCTCCCACACACTTACAGCCTGCTCTTCTTCACTCCTAAAAGATGTTATACCTCCCCAGCCAGTGCATGAAATTACCGCCTCCCTTTCCTCATTTAAAAGTTCTTCAAAAAATTCCTGCCATCTACCCAGTACCTCCAGCTCCCCATCTACTAACTCCCCTACTGTTTTTAACTGACAAATCCATTCGTTCCCTAGGCTTTCTTAACTTGTTTATCTCGCCCCAAATTTTTTCTTATTCCCAGCAAATTTCTTGACAGTGCCTCTCCCACTCTGTCATTTGCTCTTTTTGCACTATTGCCCCTCTTCCCCTTTCTTTCACTCTCCATATACTCTGCCCTGCTTATCACATCTGCTTTGTAAAAAAAAAAAAAAAAAAAAAAAAAAAACTCAAGCTACCTTTTTTTCTTTTATTGCACCCTTTACCTCATTCCACCAGTCACTCCTCTATCCTCCTGCACCCACCTTCCTATAGCCACAAACTCCTGCCCTCACATTCTAATACTGCATTTTTAAATCTATCTCGTCCCTCTTTACCCCCCCCCCCTCCCATTACCCATAGTTGCACTAGTCCAACTTTCTGCCAGAAGTTGCTCATATCTCACCCTAACCCCCTCCTCCCTTAGTTTATAAACTCTCACGTCTCTTACTTTCTGATGCCATTTTCGGCATAACTTCTCATTGCTTCTCCCTTCATTTTTAATGGCATCTAAAGGTAGTTGTTAGAAATAACTAACTTGGTGAAAAAGGCATGTCAATGGTAATAATATCGCTCTGGGCCTGTGTGGGTAGCTGGTGTATGGGGGCTTCCTGGCTACCTATACCTACCCACTACCTACACCTAACTTCCTACAAATAAATACTACTCTTGTCTCGCCCTACATTAAGACTACAAATATTTTAAGGTAAGTCATGAATGTACTGTATATGTATTTTACTTTTTATTTTTTTTAATGCCTAGTTCTACTGTTAGCTTAATGTATGTTATTGTAAACTTATCTGGCATTTTTATGCAATTATAACTGGGAAAAATGTCACTGCTTTACAGCAGAATCATGGAACTTAACCTGCTGTATAAGTGGGGCCCTACTATATATTCATTGACAAAGGTTTATATACTTGTAATTCTTAAGTAAAGATAAAATAAAAATGCAGTATAGAAGAAACTATTGCACTGATGTGTAGTTTTGCATGTTTTGGTGGTTGAGGGCAGCACCCTACTTTGATTGTTGACTGGCATATTTTCCCTTCCCTTGTCAAAAACTTACTTCAGGCAGTCGCCAAGAAGCTCATTGCTTGGTAAACATTGTGTAACTTAGCCTGGTTGCCAAAAGATAGTAAAGTTGTATATTATTTTTACTGTTTTGTTTAGAATAAAACCCTATTTTCCCTTTGTTACTTTGTATAGCGTCTTTTCACTTTTTGCGCAAATATTAAGAAATATAACTCGGATGTCTGTGAGAATCTTCTGTAAATAATGTTTCTTTCATATAAAATTGTTTAACAATTTAGTTGTAAGTAGTTTATTTTTTACCAATGTACAACCCTGGCAATTTATGATTACTTGGATAGCTTGCCAATTAAACTTTTAACTGAATTTTACATGGATAGTACTGCAGTAGTTTGATAATGTTCACATTTTTGTAGGAATAATTGCCAAAAGTGATAAGAACAGTTTTTCATGTTTGTGGGAATGAGTGTAATAACATTAAATTGACAAAGCATTAGTACAGAAATGTCATGAATAATTTGGAAATGCATAGTATGAGAGCATATTTTCAGTGTGATTTAACCCTTCAACTGTGGTATACCAGGAAAATATATTTCCTGTATGTGACATGATATAAAAAAAAAACTTTTCTTACAGATTGAAAGAGTGCATCTTTATGAATTGAGAATAAAAAGATTGGAATCTGATAAAGGCTTAAAATTTTTTGGTGTTGATGTTGGCAAAAAAAAAAACTTAACAACGGTTCAAATGCAGTTATATTTACATTTTAATTTTTTTTTATTAACACATCAGCCATTTCCCACCAAGGGTGGGATGACCCAAAAAAGAAATGGAACACTTTCATCACCACTCACTCCATCACTCTTGCCAAAGACATGCCTTAAAATTTATTGATGCCAAATTATGATTGTTCACTTTTTAATGTTTGAAACAGTATCTTCTAATATTTCCAGGAAAATATTGTAATTCAGATATGGTTATAAATATTTGTCAATCGTACGTTTAAGTAAAAATGGACCTGGTAAAAAATTTAAATTTCTTTTTACTTAAAATCTCAGAAATTGTACAGTGGTAATGCAAGATGACAAAGCATTTTTTTATTATTATTATTATTATTAGTAGTAGTAGTAGTAGTAGTATCATTATTATTATTTATTCAAGTTTCCATAAGCAGGTAAAACACAACCTAAGATTTTTTTCACATCGGCTGTCTCCCACCAAGGTAGGGTGACCTTGGAGGAAAAAAGTTTCACTGTCATTAATTCAATCATTGTCTTGCCAGAAGTGCACTGACATCACAGCTCGGTTACTCTTCTGAACAGCAACATCCCTACCCCTTGTTCAAATGTTTAATAAAACAGGAGGGCTCCATTTGTATGACTTCGGTTCCTGACCCCGGCAGTAAGCTAAAATTGCCAGAGGCTGGAATTTTTTTTTCATTATCAAATGTCAAAAATGTCTGATAACATGTTTATGCTGTCATGTATTAAATGCTCAGTACAGCTAGGCATAAAGGAAAAAAGTTAAATAAATGCACAGTACATACAATACTTACCTTAAAATATGGTGCCGGTCACCCTTCGCTTATGCAACTATTGTGCAAATGGCAGGAAGTTAAAACACTGAACATAATGAACGATGGCTTTGTTGAAAGCCATATGTGGAACACCTAAAAGAAGGTCCTGAATACCTGGGGCCCTTGTGTGATGGATTAAAAGGAAAAAGTTATCTTTCTGTACTAAATAGATCTTAGACTGAATTTGGTACTAATATTTGTAGAGTAATTTTCATTTTCTCAGTACTCTGGCATTGAGGTTTGGACTATGACAGTTGGTAATTTACTTTTAAAATAGTAATTTTAGAATCTTCTTTTAATGTCTACCAGAAAGTTAATTTCCTAATAATGTACTATACTGTAATGTTTGTAGAAAAAACCATACCCGGCCGGGGTATGGTTTGTTTGCAATCGTGTCATTACGATTTCGTGAGTCAATGTTTGTAGAGTTAATGCTCATAAAAGATTGCAGCTCCATTTCAAGTTTTATTAAAAACTCAAAATGGTTCATTTTATGAGTGTTAACTTGTTATACAGTAAAACATGAATGAATGATTTAGACTAATGTGATTTTTCTATAATTTGTTTGCTTCTGTGCTTGCAGCGGATGAGGATGGTACGTGGGGAAAATTTATATTTATTTTTACTTGTAGCATCATAGTTTGACAATTTCAGAGTTTGAAGTGAAGCTCTCGAAATTCATGCAACCTTTTTGTACGGCTTAAATTGCAGAATCTTGCCTAGTTTAATAAAAATTGTATATGAATATTGTAAGCTGCATGAGGCCAATGTTTATAATTATGCAAGTAGCATTTTAATAAATCAGTTTTTATAACCTTTCACTAAATACAGTAGACAGTCATTTAACCATTTAACACTGTAGTTACGTTCCTGAAAACGCCATGTTAGACAAAACAGTGTTAGACAAACTGAAGAACTTGTGGAAAAAATAGGGTTACATTCCTGGGAGCCCCCAAAAAGCCAAACTTTTTTTTAGACCTCCAGATGTTACAGAAATAAAAGGAATATGTAATTGTAGTTCATTATTGTGATGCATTGTTTTTTACTGCTTAAGACTAGAAATGCAACAGAAATAATAGGACTGTATTTCTTAGCTTAAATTGTGGGTGATGGTGTTGTCAATGATTGTGAAGAGAATGGAGTTATACTGTGGCCCTACTGGGCTGAGGTGGATGGTAGAGGTTCTGGTACTGAAGTTGATGGTTGTACTGGAGTGTGCATAAATTCTGTAATGGATTTCTGTTCTACTTTACCCTGAAGTACATTGTACAACTGATGGTAAGGCATCAGCTACTCTCTTCAGTGAAAAGTCTAACTTTAAATCATTAAGTCAGTCAAGTCAGTAAATCAGATTTAACAAATGACAATGAAAATAAGAAAATACGTATGTAAATGAACACCGTGAGCTTCCCGAGTATTGTCGTCCTATGAACCAAACTGGAGGGTGGTAGGGGATGATGGTAGGTCTCCCTCAGCCACCCACACCCACCCACACCACCTTCCCAGCCTTCACTTCAGTTCATACTCATGTAGGACGACGATACTCAGGACTCGCTGCGTTTATTTAAAAAACATTTTTTTCTTTTTTCATTGCCATTTGTTAAATCTCCCAAAAGAAATCAGGGCCCCCCAGTAAGTAAAAAGGGTTTATTCCTGTAAGTGAAAGAAAAGGGAAAAAGGGTTTAAGATTCAAGTCTGGGAAAATTACAAAGAAAATAGAGATCCCGTGGCCCCCCGCATAGCGATTTTAAAATCCGGCAAGAGGGCTCGTTGTTATTGAAATTTGTCGGTATGCAAATAAATTTTTTCCCCAAAGAAATAATGGAAATCAAATTAATCCGTGCAAGACCCCCCCCCTTATGAAAAAAAAAAATTTTACCAATGAAAATGAAAATTTTAAATTTACAACACTAAAAAAGGCACCCAAATTTACATGTTTTTAAATTTTAAATTGAAGATCTGGTGATGATTGATGGGATGGGAGGAGGGGGGATTTGTGTTTTTAGTGTTTAAAAGGGGGAAACCCCCCTTCCTTTAAGACTTGGTGTTAGCCCTTTTCGGGGGTTTAAATTTTCCCTCTTCTTTTAATGCCACTGGGGACCAGTTTCCCAGGTCCCTGGATTTCCCTTTTCGCCAACATCGGGTGTCCTATGGCCTGTCCCTCTCTTTCCCTTTTAAAGGTTTTCCCCTAAATTTTTTCCCCAACATTGTCATTTTGGAAAAAAAATCACCACACGGCTTCCCTTTAGCTGTGTAGGGTGATTTTCATCCATGAAGGTTTGCATTTCAAGCCATTTTGCACGTTTTCCTTTAAATTTTGTATTAGGCAATTTCTTAAATTTTCCCTCTCCCCCCCCTTCGAACCATTTTCCCCTTAGGTGGCCTCTTGCTTTTGAATTTTTGTTTCTTCAGCTCATCAGTGGTTAGTTCTTCATTGCCTCCTCCACCAATTTCCCACATCACCCCCACAAACCCCCAAACCCCCAAAGGACTTTCCCAAGCCACAATGGATTCCTCACGGCAAAACCCCCTTTTAGGGTTACCTCCCCCCCCCTTCCCCCCCAAAATCCCTTTTTTCAACTTTTGGGCCCGTTTTTTCCCAAAGCAGAGTTCAAGGTTTCTTAGTCACTCCCCCCCAAAAGCCTTACCAAAAAGGGTTTTACACAATTGGGGATTTTAAAGTGCTCCCCTCCAAAACTCTTGTCGTTGATTTTTCTGAGGTCACTACAAAGCACCTTTCAAACAGACCCTTTTGTGTAAATTTTTTTTTTTGAAGTTTGAAATAACGGGCTGGTCGGGGGTTTGCAGGGGGGAAAGGGGTATTAGGAGGAAAAAACTTCCCCTTTAAATAAATTTCATGCCCCATAAATTTCGTCTCCCACGTCTGTAGGATAAACCGGGGGCCCATTGTCAAAACCCCCGGGAGGAAATTTAAGTTTAATTTTCTTTTCAGTTAGGAAAACCTTTCCCCATTGGGGGCAAATGCATGGTGAAACCCAGTCATAAAAAAATTTCCCCTTTGTGCCCCAATCCCTTTAACTTTTTGGCCCCCCACAGCACCCCACTTTTCCCCCTTTGAGGACTTTCCCTTTTGCCTGAAGGGTCTGGGAGTTTCAGAGTGTCCCACAAAAAAAAAGGCTTCATTTTTGCAATCCCCCAGTAGGGGAAACAAAATCAAAAAAAGTAATCCTTTTCTTTCAAGGTTATGCCCCTTGGGGTGCCTTTTCCTCCTGGTAATTTTTGGCCCCTGTTTTGGAAATTTTTTTCCCAAAACAGGCCATTTTTAAACAAAATTTTAAACACTTGTTAGGTTTCATTTCCCTTCCCACTGCTATGTACTCCTTAAATTTTCCTGCACATTTTTTTTTCAGCCCCTTTGGGGGCCCAAAACGGGCCCAAGCCTCACCCATCCCTTATCACACTATGTTCCCACTACGCTTCTTAAATCTCTAAAAAACCAACCCTTTGCTGGCCCTTTAAAAATTCATCACATCATCCCCAAGTTGAGGAATTTTTTTAAAATTAAACCTCATGCAACTTCCTACCCTTTTTCGTTAAATTGATCGCTTGAGGAGACGCTATTTCCTCCCTAGCTGTTTTTTAATTTATCCACCCCAATAAGTGTCTTTAAAACATCTTCTACACTTTGGGGCCTCTGTTTCAAAAACATTAAACCCTTTGGCAAGAAAAAGTTTCCTTGATTGCCTTTTTTTGCCCACAATAGTAGGGGTTGGTTGTTTGGGTTTTTTTGGAAAACCCCGGGCCAGGTCGGCGCCCAACGCACTCCCCTTCATACTTTTAAATGCTCTTTCTTAAACTCTGTAGTAATTTTTCACCCTTATTGCGTGGGGGGTTGGCATTTAAAACTTTTTTGGGGGCCCCATGGTCACTTTTTTTGGGGGGGCCAGATAAAATCACCAAAAACACTTATTAACGAAATTTTTCCCGTTTGAAAGGCTTAAATTTGTTAACCGCGGAGGCTGGCTGGTAAACAATGAAAACCGGGGCGGCAAATGTGAGGCGGGCTAAGGGCGAAAATTTGGGACGCGTCTGGGGGGAACAGCGGTGAGGGGGTTTTTAAAGCGGTAGGGAGGCAAAATTTTGCGAAAAAAAGAAAGGGCGGGTATGGGGATTGAACTTATGTGTTCCCCGCCCGATGCGGGGGGTCCCCCTGTTTTAGAAAGTTTAAAAAAAACGAGGGGCCCTTTAAAAGAACGGGGTTTTAAAAAGAACATAAAAATTAAAAACTAGCTAACTGGCTTTACTGGCTGACTTAAATCAAGGGAAAAAACCCATGGGCCCCATCCCCCCCGGGGGTGACGTGCTAAAAATTTTTTTTCCCCCCCCAAGGCCGTTTAAACTAATTTTATAAGTGTTTAAATAAAAAAATCCATATTCTTCAATCGGCTTTAAAAAAAAATTTTGGAAAGAAAAAACCCATTTTTTTTAAAACGAGGGTTAAAACTGTACCATGCCATATGCTTTAAAAAGCTGTTTTTTTACTAGCAGTTGGTTTTTGAAATTGCAGTCCTGGGTACTATACTTGTCCCTGCTTTTCCCTTTTGTTTTGCTCCCCCTCTGTTTTCAGTTGGTAAAATTTTTAACTTTTTTTCTTTTTTTCGTTAAAACCGGCCATACCCCCAACCAAAGGGCCAGAGGGACCCCCGGGTAAGAAAAACTAAAGTTTCTTTTTCAAAAAACCTTAGTAATATAAAACAGGAAAAGGGGTTACTAGTCCTTTGCCCCCGGTTTTTGGGTCATCTTTAAACGGGGCACCCCTAAACTTATACTTTACTGTATTTACATTTTTTCATGTTTTTTTTCTGGCCTGTGATTGTCCTTGAAAAATGGAACTTTTTGAGCTAGGCGGGTTTAAAATTTAAATGTAATTTTTTACATTTTTCTTGCAGGGTTTGGCACTGTTTTGGGGGAATATTACAAATTTTTGAACAAAACTTTTTCTTTTTTTTTTGATTTTAAAAACCTTATTTAAACCCCTTTCACTGTTGAGACCTCTTTAAAAAAATTTTTGGAAAAAAAAATTTTTATATTAAAATATTTTTTGAGTTTTTTAAAAAAGAAAAAATTTTGATCATATTTTCCAAAAAAGGGGCGTAAAAATGAAAAAGTAAAACTGCTTAGGGCCAAAAATGGGTGACCGCCGCTCACTTGGTAAAAAATTTTATTTTTATTTTTTTTTCCTTTGTTTTTAATTTTTTATTTTTTCATGAAAATTTTTTATTGCCTGTGGGGACGGGCAACCACCCGGGGGGTACTACCGTCCCCCAAAAATTTGGAGGTAAAACAAAAGCATGAATTGTTTTACATGAGGGTAGGTTTTAATTTATTTTTTTGTTTTCCCGAAAACCAGTACTTTGGGGTTTTTGATTTACAATAGTGGGTTCCCAATGCAAAGAGACCTCTATTATCCCTTGGGCATTAGGGGCCAACTTAAAAATTATTGGCTAAGTTACTTAACACAAAGGGTTTATACCCAATTTTTGTACGTGGGATAATAATTTTTTCATAGTTTTACAGAGTTTAAAATTAATTTTTAAATGAATAAAAATTTTTGTATAAGACAAAAGATATATT